GAGTTTAACTTCTAAATAAAAGCTTTAAAGTGCAGCATGAATTGCAGACAGCTCGTGGTTTAAACGCAGTCCAGATTCACAATATCTCTTTCAAGTGTAGAAATTAAAGAAGTATTGTCATTGCCCTGCTGTAGTGTAAAGCAAAAATAATATGCCTATGAAATATTCATTTTCATTTATTTTACAGTGCAATTGTTTTACAACATATGGCTACTACTGTAATTGTTATTATTATTATTATATTCTAATTAGTTTGGCTTCCTCAAACTCCAGTGTGAATGTGATTTAGACTGAGACAGTAGATCACAAATAAAAAGAGGCTTGAGTTCACTTTAAAGTTCAGCTACGAGTCAATTCACTGACTTTTTTCTGACTTCAGTTTTCTAAGTTCAGGACATGGGTTTCAGATCTTAATTTTGAACTCTCAAAGTGCATTAGATAGAATAATTTAACTTTAAAATGTACAAAATTCTAAATTTTTTTTTTTTTACTTTTACAATAAATATCCTATGGTGGACTTCATATCGTGATATTATTGTATGGTGATATTTTGATATGGTTACATCCCTAGTGATCACTGATGGCTGTCTCCACAGGCGGACATTAAGATCCCGGGGCTTCCTCTGAAGATCGTGATGGAGGCCATACAGCAGGCCACAGGTACTCTTCACTCATCAAGCATCACGTGACCTACACCGCGAGTGTGTGACGTGACGTTTGCTGCGTTTCCTTTCAGTGGCCAAACGGGAGATCTTAGGCATCATGAACAAGGTCATCTCCAAACCCAGGAGCTCCAGGAAGGAGAACGGCCCGCTCGTTGGTACGATGAGTTCCTGCTCGTGTGGTTTCTGCTGCTGTTTTATTTTTCTGATCCTGACATGAGCTCGTTTCCACAGAGAACGTCAAAGTGCCTCTATCTAGACGAGCTCTGTTTGTGGGTCCGGGAGGATTCAATCTGCGCAGACTGCAGGCTCAGACAGGTGTGTGATTGTGAGTGTGTGCGTGTGTGTGTGTGTGCGAGTGTGAGTGTCTGTGTGTGAGGTGTGC